AAACAAAACAAAGGATGAACCATACATGAATTCATGGACCTGGAACATTTTTGAGATTATCTTTTTAAATGGTACAATTTCTTCATGTTTGCAATGTGAATTAAAAATGAGTTTATGAGATTTGCGCATCAGTGTTACATTTGTCAGAATTGGGGTTGTATATGAGGGGAAATGAATATCAAATGTCCTTACCAGAGGTGTGGGGCTTCAGTGTGATCTTCGGTACCTTGAACCAGGAGGAAGACTCCTTTTCTTCAGCCTCCTTGCCTCTGCTATCCACCTCCCTCCACATCTGTGTTTTTGTTGAGCTGAACTCAACAGGAGACTCGGAGCTGTCCCTGTCCAACATGTCTGTTCTGGCGTGAGACGACACCACGTGTGTCGAAGTCTCCGGTGTATCGCTCAAAAAGGCCATTTCACCTGATTGTCTGCTATCTCCCCTCACTTCTCTGGGCGATGAATCTTTTCCCATTTTACCTCTTGTTTCTGTTTTCTCCCCTCCTGAAGACATTTTGCCATATGGACTGGTGAATTCCACTTTTGGAAACTTGATTTTTCCACTGAACGTCCCTTTATCATCCTTGGGGCTTTGGTGAGGAATTGTATCTTTTTCTACATCGATGCTTGAACTCTCTTCCTTTATTGCGACGTCAAATGATCCGGATTTGCCAGAAGAAAATGAAACCTTGGGCATTTTAAATTTCTCCCCTTTTGATGTTTCCTCTTCCTCTTCTTCCCTTTCTACACCGAGTTCTACTGTTTTATCTTTAGATTTCCCAAAGTTTGACTTGATTTTGATTTTGGGCATCTTCCCCCTGACCTCCTCTGTTGTCATTTCAGCTGTTGTCTCAGATTTTGGGATACTCACAGCTGATTCATCAGTATCGTTAGGCTTTACCAGGACAAAAACAGCTTTCTTTACTTTGGGTATCTTAGGACCCTCGTATTGCACTTCTGGTCCATGGATGTTCATCTCTCTTTCAGGAGAAGTGAGGGAGGGTAATGGAACACCAAATTTAGGGATCTTGACTTTCTTGTCCGTTTCTGTTCTGTCATCATCTTCATCTTGTGATGCACCAATATCAAACTCAATGTCTGTTATCCTGGGAATTTTGATTTCCTTACTGAAAGATGAGTTAGCCTTATCTCCTCCTATTTCTGTTTTTAGACAAACACTTGGTAACGTAACATTTGCTTCTGGAATATTAATCGGATTTTTGTCGTCTGACTGCTCGTTGTGTTGGACCTTTCTTTCACCGGTCGACTTTACGTCTACTGTTACGTCTCCACCAGTTTTCCTTTTTGGTAATCCAATCTTGAACCTTTTTCCTTTGACTTTGGGCTCCTTAACTTTGGTTCCTGCTGTGTTCAGATCCAAATCGGGTAAATCAACTTTTGTCTTGTCTTTCTTCCCTTCTCCTCTGTGCAATCCGGCATGGAGCTCCAAGTCTCCTTGTGGACCTTTTATATCAGTTGTTGGCCCTTTGAGTTTTAAACCTTTGTGTTCACCCTCAACATGCATATCATCTAATTTATGAGCCTCTGCTTTCCCTGTTGGTAATTTTATCCCAGGTGATTTCTCTTTTTGCAATAAAATGTTTCCCTTTAGATGTTCAACATCTGGACCTGTGAGTTCCATTTCCATAGCAGGTACTTCATTATCTCTACCTTTACCTTTAGGAAGAGATATATCAACTTTTGGCATCTTGAACTTCCCTCCTTCACCCTTAATTTCAAGATTGGGACCTTCAGTTTTAACTTTCGGTAGTGAAATGCCTACTGAGGAAACGTTTGATAGGTTTCCCTCTCCCTCAACCGTTCCTTTTATTTTTCCAGATTTTTCTTTGGGTAGAGAGATGTCAACATTTGGCATCTTTATCCTCCCTTCTGCATCTCCCTCAAGCTCAACCTCTGGGCTTTCAAAATTTCCTTTAGGTAATGAAATATCAACAGAAGGCATACTGATGTGTGGCATCTTAAAATGACCACCCTGACCTTTAATGTCCACTTCTAGACTGTCTTTTCCTTTAGGCACAGAGAATTCAACATTTGGCATTTTCACATGAGGCAGCTTGAACTTTCCTCCCACGTTTCCTTTCATTTCAGCATCTAGATCATCAAATTCCCCTTTTGGTATTGATACACCAGCTGATGGTATTTTCATGTACGGTATTTTGACATCAACATCAAGACCTTCCACTTTTCCTTTGGGAAGTGAAATATCAACAGAGGGCATCTTAAATTTGCCACCTTCCCCCTTGATCTCCATCTCTGGACCTTCTATGTGTCCTTTGGGCAGAGAAACATCAACATCTGGCATTTTCCATTGAGGTAATTTGAATTTCTCTCCAGAACTTCCCTCTATGTTAAGATTTGGACCTTCAACTTTTCCTTTGGGAAGTGAAATATCAACAGAGGGCATCTTAAATTTGCCACCTTCCCCCTTGATCTCCATCTCTGGACCTTCTATGTGTCCTTTGGGCAGAGAAACATCAACATCTGGCATTTTCCATTGAGGTAATTTGAATTTCTCTCCAGAACTTCCCTCTATGTTAAGATTTGGACCTTCAACTTTTCCTTTGGGAAGTGAAATATCAACAGAAGGCATGCTGATATGTGGCATCCTGAACTTTCCACCTTCCCCTTTGATTTCCACTTCTGGGCCTTCAAACTTTCCTTTGGGCAGAGATATATCAACATTTGGCATTTTTACATGTGGCATTTCAGTTGCTGCCATGTCTTGAAATTTACCCTTTGGAAGAAAGATGTCAACACCGGGCATTTTAAACTTTTGCTCTGCACCTCCCTCCATTTTAACTTCAGCCTTTGCTTTTGGAAGTGAAACATCAACTGAAGGCACCTCAAAATGAGGTACTGAAGTTTTTGCAACTCCGGGTTCAACCTTCGCCTGGAACTCAGGTGCATCAACCTCTGGGGTCTTCATTTTTGGAAGACTGAAGTCAACGTGTGGCATTTTGATGTTAGGCATCTTTAACTTTCCCCCACCTTCAATTTCAACATCTGGTCCTGTCTGTCCCTTAAATATGTCGACGGTTGGCATTTTGAATTTGCCTTCCTTTCCTTCTATGCCTTCTATGCCTTCTACATCTGGAAAACTCATTTGACCAGTCTTGTGTTTTGGTATTGTTATATCAACAGTGGGCATTTTGACATAAGGCATTTTAAACTTGTCTCCATCGCTCTCTATGTCAATGCTTGGTGCATGAAGATCTTTAGATTTTCCTTTGGGAAGGGACACATCTATTGTTGGCATTTTGAATTTTCCTTCACCTCCTTTAAGCTCCACATCAGGTCCTTCCATTTTCTTTCCTTTTGGCAGGGACACATCCAGGTCCACTTTGGGAATTTTGAGGTTTCCTTCGTAACCTTTAATGTCTGCTTCTGAAACGTCAACTTCTGTTTTGGGGAGGAGAACCTCTGTCTCTGGTGTTTTAGCTGCCGGCAATGACAGCTCAACTGATGGCATCTTGCCTTTGGCCTGAACTTCAAGTTCACGGTTTGGTTTTCCTAAATTTTGTTCTTTAGAGCCAAATCCTGGGACTGAGAACTTTGGCAGTTTAATAGTGACATCAGGAACATGGAAGCCTGCCTTCCCTTCCGCATCTGCTTCCACTTTAGCATCAACCTCTCCTTCTGTAAGCTGAACCTTTGGTGATGACATTTTGAATTTGGGGAACTTCGTTTTATGTTTTCCTTTCCCGTCTTGGACCTCAAGATTGAAATCTACCTTAGGAATGTCAGGTTTCCCACATTTCATTTTGACATCAACATCAGGACAAGATACAGATACATCTGCATTCGTTTTAGAAATTCCAAATGAAGGAAATTTCATTTTTGTTTTCTTCACTTTCACTTTTCCATCTCTATCAAACTCGACTGACGGTGCCCTGATCTCTCCTTCCACACTTTGCGGATTAAGGGAAACATCTCCTTTGGGTCCTGATACTTTCAAATCACCACTCTTTGACTTTCCACCAAATCTGGGCAGGGAGAAACTTGGGACTTTGAGTGAGACATCAGGTATATCAAAGCTGCTCCCTGATGAAGGCCTTCCTCCTTCTGCTTTCAAAAGCTCCAGTTCCACCTCATCACCTTGAGGTTTGGGGAGAACAAAATTTAAATCCACTTTTGGAGCTGAGATGTCAACTGTTGGCAGTTTGACTGAGGGGAGTTTTAGGGATGCACCTGAATCTTCTATGCCCCCTGTGTCCAAGTCTTGACCTTTAACTTTTAACTTGGCTGTTTTGATATCACTTTTGAGGCCAGACATCTCCAAATCTCTGGACACATCAAAGCCACTGGCATCCATTTTAAATCTTTTATTTTTTTTACCTGAAGGAACATTGAGATCTAAATCAAATCTAGGCATATTTATGTCAAGAGATGGCATCTGGAGCTTTCCACCTTTTTTATCAGCTTTTGGATGTTCAAACTTTCCCATTCCTGATGGAACTTCGATACTAATATCTCCCTCAACTTTTCCCCCTGGAAAAGATATATCAGCAGCAGGCACTTTAATCGTACCTTCTTTAATTTCTGGCCCTTCCACTTTGACATCCCCTTCAGGCAGGTTCACCTTTGGAAATGAAATGGCCACTTTTGGCATTTTGTATTTGCCTCCTTTTACATCAAGACCCTCAACATCAAAATCTCCATCAACCTTTACTTTGGGAAGTGAAATATCAGCAGATGGCTTTGCAAATTTTCCTTTTATGTCTGGTCCCTCAACTTTTGGGAGACTGACCTTTGGTAGAGAAACATCAAACTTTGGCATCATGAATTTTCCACTGCTCACATCAGGGCCTTCAAGACTGATGTCACCCTCTATTGTGCCTTTAGGAAGTGAAACGTCAATGGAGGGCATGTTAACATTTGGCCCTTCAATCTGAGGACCCTCAACATCTACCTTTGGACCTTTAGCTTTCATTTTAGGCAGATTTATATCAATTGAGGGCATGTGGAATTTGCCTCCTTGAGCAGCATGTCCTTCAGCTTCTATTTCTCCTTTAACTTTTCCTTTGGGAAGTGATAAATCAACATCTGGCATCATAATTTTCCCAGTCTTGATGTCTGGACCTTTTATCTTCAAATCACCTTCTGGGAGATTCACCTTTGGTAGAGAAACATCCA